TTAATATCCCAAGGCTGTTAGATTAGTCTGAAAGGTAGAAGTACAAGGTGATTCAGAAGGAACATAGAAGGTTGAAATAATAAGATTTTAGGATTAATAGAATACTGAGAGTTACAGGAAGGAGGGAATTTAGGATGAATTTCCAAGTATCTGACTTGGATAGTCAGCTGCATGAAGCATGCTCCTACTATAAAATGAAATACTGGTCGGTGGAGCCAAGGAGAAGGGAAGTTGGTAACTTCAGTTTTGAACATGTTCACTGAAAGAATCTGTACTTTTGTTGACAAGTACAAAAGGCAGTTGCGTGATAGGATTTGGACCTCAGAAGGGAGGTCTGAGCTACGGAAATATTGGTAGCCAATGAAACCTTGGGTACTGATGCAATTAGTGGCAGAGGTTTTATTTTATTTTTATTTTTTGTGACAGAGTCTCACTTTGTCACCCTCGGTAGAGTGCTATGGCATCATAGCTCACAGCAAACTCATACTCTTGGTCTCTAGTGATTCTCTTGCCTCAGCCTCCAGAATAGCTGGGACTATAGGCACCTGCCACAATACCCAGCTATTTTTTATTTTTTATTATTTTTTAGAAATGAGATTTTATTCAGAGGTTTTATTTTAAACAAAACAGATGCACCTACGAGCCCTAGAGAATGCAGCATCTGAGTGATAGTCAGATGAGATGAGCCCGTGTAGGAAGGAGTAGCTATTAGATCTTAGACAAAGAGAAGAAACCAACTAACAAGGCCTCCATCATGAAACAAATACAGATACCTCAGTAAAAGACTGCAAAGTCTATCATTTATTTCATTAGAAAATTTCTCAATTTTAAAAGGTCTTATTTTTATTAAAATTTGTGATAATTTTTTAAATTCCCTAAAACTGGTGATCTGTGTATGCACTAAATACCCTTTGGAAATTAAGACTTGGTAAATCTTAGCTAGGCGTGGTGGCTCACACCTGTAATCCTAGCAATCTAGGAGGCCAAGGCAGAGGATCCTTTGAGCTCAGGAGTTTGAGACCAGCCAGAGCAAGAGTGAGACACCCCCATCTCTACTACAAAGAGAAAAACTAACAGGGAGTTTTATGGCAGGTGCCTATAATCCCAGCTATTAGGGAGGCTGAGGCAAAAGGATTATTCGAGCCCAAAAGTTTGAGTTGCTGTGAGCTATGATGCTACGGCACTCTACCCAGGGCACCAGAGTGAGACTCTTGTCTCAAAAAAAAAAAAAAAAAAAAAAACTCAATTTATCTTAAGATTTGGCCTCTAGAAGTGAACGGGCAGCAGGATCCAAGAAGGCAGCAGCATTCTCCCCTCTGGGCCCCCTGGAACAGAGAGGTGTGCTAGGCTTCAGCAGCTTCCTCTCAATGACTGTAAAGGAATCCCTGTCTCTAGGGGCAGGACACATTTCAGTTAAGTCAAGTGGGTGAAGGACACATCCTTACAAGTAGCTATAGGTGGCTGGCCTCCCAGAGGCCAGTAGAAAAGGATAGTTGACTTGGAGAGGAACCAGAAAAGGCACAGCTACGTACACAGGATGAATAAACAGAGAAATCAGTGTGTGATGCCGATAAAGAATGACAGAAATGAGAAGCATTACATTAGCTTGTTTCCAGGTTGCACGTTGGCTGCTAACGCTAATGTGAGCCTCCATGGCCTGCATTTGTCTGACAGTGGTTCTGGGAGGGGAGAAAGTGAAGTAAGACCTTGGGCACTAAGGAGCTTTCTTCATTGCCTGCTATTTTGCTTTGCACCTGTTAAACTGGGAAGAATCTGAGAAAGTAAAATCCTTGCAGAGGTAAAAGGTCAGCCAATACAGGAACACTTGAGATCCGATGGCAGACTGAAAGGCAAAAGCTGGGTGGAGAAGGAAAGCCAAATGGGCATCTCCTGCGCAGAGCAGCCCTAAAACTGCTGGGCTACAGGAGGCTGAGGGAGAGCAGTGTTTGTGTGAGCCGTGTCACCTTAGTGTTCCTTGTGGATGCAGTCTGCTTCCGCGTGTTCAGTTCTGTTGCCCGAACTCTTTGTGTTAATTTTTCATGTCTGATTTCAGCCAGCTTCTGACTCAATGTTAGGGTCATCCTAATGCAGGGCATTGTGGAGCAGCTGAATGTCATTTTCATTGCGACACCTCTTTCTTTGAAATGTTTCTGCTCAGTGATAGTCAAGAGGCTGATAGACAGCATGTGTTCAAGGATAAATGGCTTTCCTAAATAGCAGGCAACAAGAAAAAAATATGCAAATGATTAAAACTAGGACAGGGGCAGGATGGAAATAATTGGTGGTAAGACCGCTCCCACAAAATTCGAGGGTCCGGCCATATTTGTGATTACCTTCACAAAATTGTGATCACTTAAAATAAGAATTCATACAACTGAGAAGTAAACTGTGCAGTAGTAGCTACTTTTGTGATTTGAGCCAGTGAAATGTCTTCTTCTCTCAGTACAGAGAACAACATCTCATGCCTTAAGTGGTGCAGGGGAGGAGGAGTGAGAAAGGGCAGGTAATGAACCATTACCTCATTTGCTTCAAAGGTGCATTTAAAATTTGTTTGCCTTAGACACATTTAACTCTGAGGTCTAGATTATAGAGCTTCATTTCTGTAGGTAAGGACTTTTTGAGAATTGAGGAGACAGACAATACACAGCACAATATTCTGACTCTGGACCTTGAGTGAAATTGATAGATATTGTGGAATGTCTTAAAGCATTTTCTGATTTCCTTAAACTTTGGAAGAATTCAGGATCATCCTAATGCAATCCAGTGTAGCAGCTGGGTACCATTTTCATTGCAGCACCTCTTTCTTTGAGACATTTCTGCTCAGTGAGATAGTCAAGAGACTGATAGCTAGAACATGTTCAAGGATAAATGGTTTTCCTAAATGCAAGCAGTGATGTATATTATAGTCCAAGCAATGTTTTTTTTTTTCTTCCTAGCTATTCTGGGCTAGAAAATAGTAGAAACTGAGTTCAGTAATGATTACTACTATTGCTCCCCCCCTTTGCCCTAAAAGGCCCATGCAGCACCCTGAATGAAGAATTAAAACAACACATGATTCTCTGAGATGAATTTATGTTATAAAACCAATTTTGCATATGGAACAAAATATAAAGAATTAAGTTATTTTGTCCCCTCTCTGCTTGCCATGACTGCCAGAAAAGAAACTGTTTTGGAGGAATGCGTAGATGCAAGAAAGGACAGTGACACCGTTATATAAATAACCATTCTATGCTGTGCAAGAAAGCACACCAGATATTGCTGTTAATTCACCTAGCTGCTATCTAAAATCTTGTTAGATTAGCGGCTGCACCCAAGGAGAATCTTTGTCTGATTCATTTTATTAGTAAAATCCTCCCATATCCATTTATAAGTGAATTAGCTCCAGTTACCTAAAGGCTGCTACTACATGGATTTCATTTCCAATCACCGTAGCCCTTTAAGATTGCTACTGAACGCTCAGAAACCCCTCTGCAAACACTCCAGCTGGTTCACAGAGGGTTAAGATCAAAGTCTCAGCAGTGTCTTAAGTATGAGTTCCTAAACTCTTCTTTTCTCCTTTATAGTTCTTAATGCTATTAAATTTAGTGTCACTCTTGCTTTTAAATGCAAATAATCCTGACATTTGAATTTTTAATGTAAAATTTTTTTATTTTAGAAAAGTTTGTCTAAAACAAAATTTGTCCTCTCTAAAATAAGACTTCCCAGTAATTTATATGCATTTCCCAACACCCACCTCCCAAATTCCCAAAGAAATTGATTTCCCCTTCTCTCATTCCTATGCTTCTGTTTCCCAGCTTCCATTGTTAAATGTTACTAGTAGTATAACATGGATTCTTTAATTGGCATTTAAAGTTAAAAGCAGCCATCAGGGATTGCTGAAAAGACTGGACAAAATGACATCTGATGTGTCTGACTCAAGCTGCTTCTCCTTGGTCTCTTGCCTTCCAATCTGGATTGAGTGGGGCGGGTGTCTGAGTTAAGACGAGGGCTGAGTGTGGGGATTTGTCTGGTAAAGGATGCTTGACTTGTCTGTTGTGGGTAATTATCCTGACCGCTCTACCCTCTGATACACACTGTGGTATGACCCTATGGGTATGGGACAAAGATAAGGCCATGACCTGGGAAGAGGGAATTACTAATTGCATTAAGGTATAATAAGAATGATAACAAGAAGAATAGTTTTCATTTGTAGAGTCTTTCTATGTGCCAGGCTTTGGGCCAAAATTCCAGACACATTATAAAGCCTAATTTTCTCAGCAGCACTGAGTGATATTATGCCTTTCTGACAGATGAGGAAACATGGCCTTATGTTAAGAAGCTTGCTGAAGTTCACACAAATGGTAGAAACTAAAGCAAGGATACAAACCTAAGACTCTCTGATTCAAAAGCCTTGCTCTAGAACTGCTATCCTGCGCTGCAAATGATCTTTATCTGGTTGGGGTGGGTAGTGGTAGATGTGTACAGATGTATGTGCTTTCCAGATGGAGAAAAGCATTTTTGCATAAACTCAGTTTCAACAATGGTAGGGTCCTGATGTGGACTACAGCCTTACATTTTATGGTACAGAGAGAGTCCAAAGATGGTGCAGGGATTGGAAAGCTGACCTGAGTCGGGCATATCCTGGTACATGCATCTGTTATGCATCATTTAACCTCCAAATTTCTTGATTTGTCTCTGTACACTAAAGGTTCAATTACCCATGTTAATGGAGGGAAGCCAAACGTGAATAACACTAAAGAACCAGTTATCTAAGGACCATTTCAGTGATGGTTTGCAATTTGTTTGTGACTTGTTAAGGGTAGATTTATTTTCCTAAATCTGTTTGCTTAATCATCCCAGAATGGTAATGGGTCAGCTGTCCCGTGAGAAAAGATCAAAGTAGATTATCCATAAGGGAAGATTACCCAGTAAATTCTAGAGGAAAAGCTTTTAAATTCATTTAAAAGCATAGCCTCAGACATGCTGACACCTTTACTTTTTTTTCCTCTGAATTCATTTAGAACATATGCTGTCAGGAGGATAAGAGATGCCTTCAGAGAAAATAAAAATGTGAAGGATCCTGTAGAAATTCAGACCCTAGTGAATAAAGCCAAAAGAGACCTTGAAATAATTCGTCGACAGGTAAGATGGTTCGATGATGGACTGTTTTTCATTAAGAGGTTTAAGCTTTGACATATTCCCCTTGATTAGACATTACTGCTTTTGGTGTTTGTGATTTACAGAGCAGGATCATGAAACTCTGTTCCTTTTACTAATACAGACATAGAAAGATGAAGTCTCCTATTCTCAAATTGAGGGAAAACATAAAGGAAACTATCAGCTTTCCAAAATTTGCAGGGAGTGCACCTGGGAAGCCAAGTTCTCATAGTTCAGTAAACGTTGATGCCTTAAGTATGAGACACTTCAGTATAACTTTTTTTAATCTAAGCCTTTGTAAGATGTATTGCACATGTGTGCCTGGACATACTTTGAAGTATAAATATAATCTTCCTCTTCCTAGTATTTTTAATCATAATTCAAGATAAATAGAATGTTGCCTTTTCCTTGAAGACGCCATCATGGGGGATGAACGTGAATTATGTTGCCACATGGGCGGTGCTCTGCAGGTGCAGATGGTCGAAAGCACAGATGCTTGGGTGCTGACCCCGTAAAGGACCTAGAAGGTGTTTCTGTTTTCATTTTGTTGAAGTGCCAGGGATCACCTTGATTTGTGCTTGCTTGTCTCTTTCTCATGAGGTGGGTGGAGTGTACGCAGCAGCATAGCCTCCTGGGTGGTCAGATGTGTCTGTGTTTCACAAGAATAATTAAAGCATCAAAGGCTAAAGCAGCCTTCTATCAATTGGCTTTCTTGCTCTCTAAAGAATCACGCTTTTTGCTATTTTTCTTTGATTCAGCAATAGTCACACCATTCATTTTTCTCTCTTAATTGTAAGAAACCCATTTATAAAGTATGAAGGGGAAAACCACATGCTGTTTTTATAAGTTCTGCTATAGGGTTTGGAAAGGGCTTCTTTAGTGTCTCCAGGAGATGCCAGCCTGTTTGACATGGCATCAGACTACAGTCTTTCCTGGATCCTTCATGCCTAACTCTTAACAGAATTCAAGAAGGACACAGTGTTCAGTGTTCACGTGTAAGTTTCATTTTCTGTCAAGATTAGAAGTCCTATTATGTTGTCAATATAATGGGATAGTTCTTTTTAGAATACCAGTTAATATTCTAACAACCATCCTTGAGTTCTACAGCTAGTTTAGCAATAGAATAGTTTTTTCCACATTGGGATGAGCCTACGAAATGATCTTTAACTAAAGGCATGAAAAGGTAATAGGAAAGCCAGCAAAAGAAACTGATATGCACATTTGCACACACTTTGAGAGTGGCGCGTGTCTGACTTGACATTTTGAAAACTCTAGAACAATGGCATTTTCCAGTCACCAGTGGTTGAATTTTATGGAATCCTTTAGCAGTGGAACTTAGAAAAACAAGCAGCCTAAGCCCTTATTTTGCATAACCTTAGAAAGATTCAGTTCTGCCACTTTCTTTGTGTATAAGTTGGCATGCATCTCCAGAAGAGGCAGGTTTTGTCTTCAATGTAAAGTTATTCAGAGTATACACTGCTTACTTACAAAAGGGACCTGTAAATCATCCCTGCCACCATTTCTTCTGTAACGTCTAATTGTCTGCACCACTTTGCACTTTGAAATGCTAAAACTCCCCTTTCAACAACAGAAAAGACTGGACTGGCCCTCATCCTGTATCCTTGTGTGTACACACTCCAGAGTGATGCGATAATCTTTGGAGCATTGGACAGTGTGTGGGGCAAGGGTGCCCTCCCCAGGACAGTCTGGCCACTGCAGTGTTGTTGGAGGAATGCAGGCTATCTTCTTTGAAGGCCAGGGCTTCCATGCTACTCTCAAAGAACAGCATGTCACCTCCTCAGAGAGGACCTGACAAATGAAGGTGTTCTCAATCTGTTGGAAAGCTATTTGGTCATACATCAGCATCTGGGAGGTTTCTGCTCAGTTCTCTTTCACATTAAGACTCTTCTTAAATCCACATGCAGCATTTACCCTGGTCAGAATGTAAGGTGTGGTAGACCCCTGAGCCACCTCACTACAAGCTGGTGGAGACCATGGACCTCAGGCCTAAAATGGCGTGCAGGGCCTGTGTTCTTCCACACTGTGCCTTGCACTGGCTGATGTAGTAGCTTTTGAACTTGCCTCGTTAAGTCCCTCCAACCCCCAACCCTCACCCCATGGTTTGTTCTCCACATACCACTGCCACAGTGATCTTCAAAAGAAAGAATCAGACTGGGCACTGTGGCTCAAGCCCATGATACTAGCCCTCGGGGAGGCCAAGCAAGAGGGCTACTTCAGGCCAGGAGTTCAATACCAGCCTGAGAAGAGCGAGAGAGTGCTGCCACTGTAACAGGCATTATGCAGATACTTGCTGTTGTTATTGTTCACAGGATCTAGAGGAGCTCCACATGGAGTTTACTTCTAATAAGTATTTGGGTTCACGTCAGACAGGTAATGTGCCAGTGTCATAACGAGACTTGTGGGAGGTACACCTCATGCATGCTCATGAAAACCCAGTTGTCACACTTATGAACTACAGAAGAATCATAATAAGTATTTGTTGATCAGATCATACACCTCAGTGGGGGAGAGGGAGGGTCTGTACCACCTAAGTGAACTATGAAAGGAAAATAGAAATCTGAGGGGCATCTTGACATTATTCTCATGAGCTATGATGCCATCATGTCAAGTCTCTCTTCCACCTGAGCATTTGGACCCAGCTGCCGCCTCATGGATCTCAGCTTCATGTTTCCACAGGTAAGGAAGCCCAGGGCTACTTTTCCAGCCACTAAACACACACCCTGAGGCAGCACTTGCACTGAGATTCTCTAATCTCAAACTACCCTCCTTCCCTGCTTTCTAGTAGCTCTTCAGAGTTTCACTGTCAGTCACGTCAGCTCAGGTGCTAAGGATGCTCTCATAAGGCTTAAAAGATTTTGCACATTTTAAAATAAGGCACTGAACCAAAGTGTCCAGGTTTTCTTTTTTCTTTTTTTTTTAATTAAATCATACCTGTGTATATTAATGCAATCACGGCGTACAGTGTGGTGTTTTCATATACAATTTGCAATACTCTCATCAAACTGGTTAATGTAGCCTTCATGTCATTTTCTTTTTTCTTTTTTCTTTCTTTTTCTTTTTTTTTTTTAAACAGAGTCTCAAGCTGTCCCCCTGGGTAGAGTGCCGTGGCTTCACTGCTCACAGCAACCTCCAACTCCTGGGCTCAAGCAAGTCTCCTGCCTCAGCCTCCCAAGTAGCTGGGACCACAGGCACCCGCCACAACACCCGGCTATTTTTTGGTTGCAGCCATTATTGTTGTTTGGCGGACCCGGGCTGGATTTGAACCCGCCACCTTAGGTGTATGTGGCTGGCGCCTTAGCCACTTGAGCCACAGGTGCCGAGCCTTCATGTCATTTTCTTAGTTATTGTGTCAAGATATTCATACTCTGCTTTTAGTAAAATTCACTTGTACCCTTGTAAGATAAAACATAGAGGTGACCCCACCAATCACCCTCCCTCCACCCATCCACCTCCCTCCCCTCTCCTCCCCCCTCCCCATATTCTAAGGCTATAATTAGGTTATAGCTTTCCTATGAAAGCTATAAATTAGTTTCATTATAGGGCTGTGTACATTGGATACTTTTTCTTCCATTCTTGAGATACCTTGCTAAGAAGAACATTTTCCAGCTCCATCCATGTAAACATGAAGGAGGTAAAGTCACCATCTTTCTTTAGGACTTCAGTATCCAGGTTTTCTGCATAGAGAAACCAAGGTGCAGAAAAGCTGGGTGCCCGTCCAAGGCCATGTGGCCCAATATGAGCTCAGGTCTTCTAATTCCTTAGAGCAAACTATGAAGTTCAAGGATAGTAGAAACTGAAGGATAAAGATATTCCCAAGTCATTCTCTCATTTTACTCCCAAGATATTTAGGGACCATATCAACCTAGCTCAGCCTCTCCTCAGAGGTCAGTCAGTCTTCCTTGATATCCTTAACATGTAAGATGTTTTGTCTTCATTGTGAATGCCGCTAGATAGCATCAGCATTTCTTATTAGCCTTAAGGGTCCTCTAAGCTCCTAAGGGTCACTCCTCTCAAGAAGAGGCAGGTAGTTTCTTTGTGATGAGCAAGTCAGCCTCCTTTTGCCCATTCAGTAAAAGCCAAACACACATTTGTTCTTTCTTTAACATTGTCAGGCATTCTCTCCCCTGAAAATCACAATCAAGTCTATCAGTCATGAATCTGTATACCTCATGTAATGTCCTGGAACTAGCAGAGACATTCAGTAAACTGCCTTTATTGTGGTATAAGATGATGCTACTAAGATGGTTTGACCCTGGTAGCTCTGATGGCTCCATTCCGTCTGTGGTAAGCAAGTTCCAAACTAGTGCCTCCTAAGCCTAGCTTTCCTATTGCTTCCCAGCTGGAATCAGAAAGATCAGAGAGGAGTTTTGTGCCCCCATCAGCTGGAGCCAGAAAAGGTAGACAAAACTGGGCTATGTGTAGAGTTCGGCAAACAGCTCTCAGACAATCTGCACAGCAAACAAGTACTAGAGCAGCAGTTCTCAACCTGTGGGTTGCTACCCCTTTGGGGGTTGAATGACCCTTTCACAGGGGTTGCCTAAGACCATCCTGCATATCAGATATTTACATTACATTTCATAATAGTAGCAAAATTACAGTTATGAAGTAGCAACGAAAATAATTTTATGGTTGGGGGTCACCACGATATGAGGAACTGTATTAAAGGGTCGCGGCAGTAGGAAGATTGAGAACCACTGTACTAGAGGATTTCTATGTCAGACAATAAACAGGGCTTCTTATCTATTTCACATCAGAAAGGTAAGCAAGAAAGTCAGCCCGATTTTGCTTTTGTCTTTTTTCTATGTTCCACTTTGTCATTCTAAAGATAGTCCTGACTCCTATCGTAAGGCACAGTGTACCCTCTTTTGTGTCTATCCTGCGCACTAGCACCTGGCTGCTCTGAATGTCTTTCAAAGACCTTCAGTGTCACCATCACCTGCGAGCCTTCCCTCCCTGTGTAGTTGACACACAGATCTTGTGACAATATTTTCCAAGCATTTTGAAATAGAGTTGTGATCTTTGAAGACCTAGCTTAATAGCTGCATGCCTGTGAAAAAGGAAGAAATAGAAGGGACTCTGGGGAACGAGGAATGGGAATGCAGCCCTGGAGGACCCTCCAGATCTGGATCTCTAATGAGAGTCCCTTGAACATGTGAATTAGGATTGTGATTTCAGGGATATTCAGCTAAGGCCTCAATGTGTAGCAAGTCTGTCTTGAGATCCAGTGAGAATCTGTACAAAGTTAAGGTGCACTTACAGCTATGTGTTATAGTCAGCATTCATTAGAGTGAGTGGCTTTTCAGTTCTTCTAGATTCACATAGAACAGCAAACATGGGTACCTGGCATTTTGGTAGGTAAGAGCCTCTGAAACCATTCTGGTTTTTCACTTCTGTTTGCTAGTTTATGGTTCAGTCTTTAAATGACCATTCAAGAGAAATGTCTACCAATAACTCTTTGAAAGTACTGTTGTGAAATGAGAAGCTGGTGAACAGTGACCACCTTCTCTCACTGTCGGTCACTACGGTATCTGTTCAATGCTCCAGATGGTTAAAACTTGAATAAAACTGTTACCTTCCCCACAATTCTCATCCTTTTAGAACAGCCTCTGAAAAGGTAGGTTTGTTTTAGTCCCCTTATGAGAAAAGTACCCTGTGTTTTCTATTACCCAACACATAATACCTTTAACTTAAATACCATTTTCATAGTTTAGAAGAATTTCAAAAATTTCTTTGGCTTTTGTTTTGATGGAATAAAGGAAAGTCTTTTATTTATCCAATAAAGGACAAGACTTATATACTATTTACAATAGCCAAAAGGTAGAAGTAATCAAGGGTCTATCAAAGGTAAATAGGTAAAATGCGATATATACAAACAATATAATGTTGTCCAGCCTTAAAAAAGGAAGGAAATTCTGTTACATGCTACAACACAGATGAACCTTGAGTACATCCTGCTGAGAGAAATAAGCCACACACAAAGGACAAATATCATGTGATCCTCCTTACACAAAGTATCTACAGTAGTCAAGTTCATGAGTAACAAAAAGTAGACTGATAAGTACCAGGAACTAGAGAGAACAGGGAAAGGAAAATTGTTTATTGGGTACAGAATTTCAGCTTGGGAAGATGAAAACGTCCTTGGAGATCTGTTTCACAGCAATTTGAATATATCTGAACTATATACTTAAAAATGGTTAAGATAATAAATTTTATGTTTTGTCTTTCTTTTCCACAACAACAACAAAAAAATTGCCTTTCTTCCCAAATGATTTACAGCTAGTCATTGATTGTGTTTAACTGGGAAAAACAAAATTAAGTGTTTTAGACATTGGTATTTGAAGGTAGGAAGCTTAAGTCATTTGAAACTTAAACTAGTGAATTTGTGTCTGTGAACCTTCAGTTACCTCATCTGTAAAACTGAAAGATTATACTATGATTTCTAAGGCGATTTCTTTCAGTTCTAAAAAACCATTGCGCAGTAGTCACGTAAATATCTGCCCCCTTCTCTATTTGCAAAAACTGATGATACATTTTTACAGTAAATTACTCTATGCCTAGTTTTCCTTGATCATTTTTCACCAAGAACTCAACTCTATAGAGCTTAGGCTATAGATGAGCAAACTTTTATTCCAACTATGTATTTATATCATCATAAATTTTAAACTCATCTCTTGGTCTACCAGTTCCCTGGTAGACCAGTTTTCTTTGCTACCAGGAAACTCAGAAAATGGAATTATTTCATTCACATTGCTGGCACTTCTGCTGTTAGCCTTCTTCCTTCCCAGTAGAAGAATGTTAACCAGTCCTAGAGCATGTATCTGATCAGATTATTTTCTTCTAAAAAACTTGAAATAGTAGTAATAATATGATGACTGATGAGCAAGAAAAATATTAAAACTCTTTCCCCAAAACCCACCTGAATGTTCATACTAGTTTCTTCTTGGTATCATGACTCCCTATTCCCTGGTTGGCTTCTGAGTTGTATTGAACATAATCTGCTAGTTAAATCAAGTGCACTATATATTTTGCAAATCCAAGCTCACATTATCTCTCCCTACATATTTATTAAGTGCCCACTCTATGCCATATATTGTAATTATGAATTGACTTTATAAAGTCTTTGGAGATAGAATTGTTATGGAATCATGAAGTCCATCAGACCCCGTAGAAGTTCTTTCTCATTTTGACTCTGTGGAGACCTACCGCTCTTCTCAGTTGTAGGTCCCATCTATTTTCTTATTTAATAGAATAGAAATAGAGTTTAAAAGCACATCCCGGCAGCACTTTGCCCTATTCCTATATAGATCAATTAAGATGAGATCAAAGGATCAATCTACATATTTAAAAAGTAGTAATAAAGCAGTCAGAGACAAAAGAGATTTAAGTACTATCTTGGACTTCAATGAAAATGCTCAGGAAAACAACATGAATTTATATACAGTGACCAGAATTGCCCCCTAAGTG